ATAGCAGAATTTTTACCAATACATCACCTAGGGCAAGAGAAACAAAGAAAAAAATAATAAATGGGACTACATCAAACTAACTGCACAGCAAAAGAAACCAGCATCAAATTGGAAAGGGAACTCACTGAGTGGGAGAACATATTTACCAATGATACCTTGGATAAGGGCTTAATTTCCAAAATACATAAAGTGCTCATGCAACTCAAAAAAGGGAAGACAATCCAATTAAAAGATGGGCACAGGAACTGAAAAGACACTTCTCCAAAGAGGACATACAAATGGCCAAGAGACATATGAAAAATTGCTCATCACTAATCATCAGAGAGATTCAAGTTAAAAGGACTATGAGGTATCACCTTACACCTGCCAGAATGGCTGCCATCAACAAATCATCAAACAAGTGCTGGTGAGGGTGTGGAGAAAAGGGATCTCTAGTACACTGGTGGTGGGAATGCAGACTGGTGCAGCCACTATGGAAAACAGCATGGTTTTTCCTTAAAAAATTAAAAATGGAACTGCCATTTGACCCACTGATTCCACTTCTAGTAATATATCTTAAGAAGCCTGAAACACCAATCAGAAAGAATATATGCACCCCTATGTTCACAACAGCACTATTACAATCGCTAAGATCTGGAAACAGCCCAAGTGTCCATCAATAGATGAGTGGATAAAAAAGCTTTGGTACATTTACACAATAGAATACGACACAGCTGTAAGAAAGAAGGACCTCTTACTCTTTGAGATGACATGATGAGGGACCTGGAGAGTATTATGCTATGCAAAATAAGCCAGTCAGAGAAAGACAAGTATTATATGATCTGACTTATTTGTGGAATCTAATAAACAAATTAAACTGATGAACAAAATAGATCCAGAGACATGGAAGTAGGGAACAGACTGACAAACCTCAGAGGGAAGGGGGGTGGGGGCGGGAAGAGATAAACCAAAGAACTTATATGCTTATATGCACAACCAATGTACAGACAACAGTGTAGTGACAATGATATAGGGGTGGGAGAAGGGAGAAGGGTGTCATTGAGGTAAAAAAGGAGGGACATTTATAATATTTTCAACGATAAAGATAACATTTTAAAAAAGAAACATTTTTAAAAGCACAATCCATTAAAAATTAATAAATTTTTCATCAAAATTTTTGCTCTGCAAAGCAACAGCAAAAAGAAAACCTCAATAATGTAGCCATAACATTTTTTTAAAACAAACAGAACCCCATAAATAGTTACACAAAATTTTTTTACAGTTGTTATCCTTGAGGAGCTGGTACCAAGAGGTTTATGTAAACTTGCCTTTTTTGACTCTGTACCCTCCCATGGTGGTTAAATTTTTATGAGTATGTCTTACTTTTCATACAAGCTCCCAAACTTCCTCACCATTAGTAGCTTACAAATGAGGTTGGGCAGCAGTATGCTAGAAAGTTGTGCAGAGTTGGATCCCTTTCAACTCCAAAATTTTAGGATATTATGTAGATCCAATATAGGATAATTAAAAATTCCCTCAGTAAGAAATGTGTGCCATATTTTATTTAATTTCAGAATCACTGCAATAAAATACTCAAAGCTCCAATGTCTCACAAGTGCCTTCTAATAGACTTAAGTCTTTATGGTGCTTGTCATTTGTCATGAGTAACCTGACATCCAAGTGACTAGTAGCCACTTTTAAGTGTATTTTCTTAAACAACTTTAAGTGGTCTTCTTTTGCAGAACAGAAGAGAACACAGTCCATTAATAGTATCAGAGTCCAGAAAGCATAGTCTTCACATGAACTCTGCCTTTTTATCCTTACAAGCCTTAATGTGCACTAATTTTACCAGTAAACTACAACTACATTAAGTCTCTGAATTAGTGGAGTAAAAGTCTGAAACTAATGCACCTAACTTCAAACAAGGCAAAACTTCTCATAATGAAATGTTAGACTGAGGAGCAGTGGTGGTGGATTTACTGCACAGTTCATGGAATTTAAGCTTCAGGGAACTTTGTCTGTGACCGTTCCAAGGGTCTTTGGGGACCCTAGAAATGTGTACACATTTTTGTAGATTTGCAAAAGTAAGATATTTTACCGTAACCAAACCCTGTCTCTTTCCACTTTACTTTTCCTCCATGATGCTTTTCTTCTTGATGAGTGGCAACAGAAGGGCCATAGACATTTTAGAGATTCAGTTAAGGGGAAATAAAGTTAGGGAGAGGTTTTCCTTGAGTTTAGTGGGATATGTTTTTGTGGTTTGCAGCAACTCTGTGTATAATTATTGGTGGCCATACAGGCATCGGAATGGCTGTAGGGATAATTCTGTAGCTCACTATGCCAACTCACTTGCTGAGGGGGCATAAAGACCCACACCAGAGGTGGGTCACACAATATGAACGTGTCAGTGGGCTCTGATCGTGGCAGAACTGGGTGATTGGGGGGAAACAAGGTTTGAAATGTGCAGAGTCAGAAAATGATGTGTGGAAATTTTTTCCAAATTTTACGTGTTATATATTAAGCAGATTAATTTTTGCAAATTTGACATCAATCCCTATAAATTTAGACAATATTATCAGTAATAAGTTATAAAACTGAAACTTTTCTAATCTGCCAATTATAAAAAACAAATTTGATCAAACATGCTAGAGAAAAGACAGAATTATTTTTCTATTCTTCTTATAGAAAATGAGATTATAAAATTATAGTTAAATGAGGAGGCAAACAAAGAATATGCACCAAGAAAGCCCAGGGTAAAAGTATTCTAGAGATGTGCCAGGCAGTTAATTAAACTATTGCTAGTTTTCTAGATTTTCTGATATTTATGTTAGTTGTCAGTTTTTAAGCTTTGCAATTTGTTATGATTTCTTCTTCCCATCTAAAATATTCACTTTCTGATTCAATTTTGCATTTGTAATTTTATGTTTTGTTTTTTTTTTTCTTTAAAAGGACTGCCCAAATTGTATAATTTTCTGGCCCTACAAAACCTGGATTAACTCTGTTTAGTAGCTTTTAAATATTTAGGAATGGAATAAAGCTTTTTCCTCTTGGTTAAGTCTTCTTAGTAACACAGTCCAAAGGGATCATGATTTACTTACTTAGTCTAGAATCTGACCTCTGCAATGGAATTGGTAGCTCTGGGGGATTCAGAACTGAGAACAGTGAGTAGCACAGAGATTTATCACCAGTCACCCTGCAGGAAGGAAACCTGGGTGGAATTTGGCACCAAGGATGAATTTCTGTTCCAGAAAGAAATCTGCAAAGAAGGTCTGCTGAAATGACCTGGTGGAACTTTGATCTAATTTAAAAGAAGAAAGACTTTGGGGCTTTTCAGAGAAGTGTGCACACTGGATTTGTGATATCTAGCTTCAACGCACCTAGTTTTGGTGTCCACAGTATAAAAGACAAGTTAAGATAAGGTTGTTAACAGTGGATGACGATAACAATGCTCTCCTTCCTATCCTCCGTCAGTGACTGAGTACTGGACAGGATTGATGAATGTTATAGGAGATCCTATGAACAATGGGGCCAGAGACCTCTGACATGATCTTTCAAAAGTTTATCTTCCTCACAAGAGCAGATGGGATTAATACACTGGGCTCATCATTCTTAAACAAGCTATGCCAAGGTCACTGGCCCTTCTCTGAAGAGGAGTTTGCATATATGTATCTCTTTTTAACCCATTTATGAGTAATACTGCTTGTTTGCTCATTTTTATATTTATGCCCCTATTAAAAGACTTGTCCTTTTATATCCCAAATAAGGCAAAATAAATTTATAATTGCATTTCACCATGGGTCTATAATCTGGCTCCAGGAATAGTAATAAAAAATTGTATGTATGACCCTCCTGTTTACTCGACTGGCCACCCAGTGGTCCCTGTAGGAAGGGGTCACAGATTATAGAAATATCCCTTCTGTCCACTCTGACACCCCAATCCTAAAATGGTGTGAGACTAAGAATGATTCACATGATTGAAGACTCCTTCCTTTAAGCTGGAGTCAGGGTGGGTAATAACTGGATACTACTTAGCATCACGTGATTGGGAATAAAAGATCCGTGCAAGCCTTTTAAAGCAGTCTGCTGCTTGATTTCATGGACTTTCTGTTTCATTGTGATGCAAGGAATCAGAGTATGGTACAGTCCAAAGAAGTACACCATCCCTAATTTCAGCAGTTCTGACAACACTGGTCCACTGTCTGAATTACCAAAGAATTCTCTTATTTGGCTGATCAGGGTTTATTGTGACTAGTGATAAAGTCTGTAATTCAGAATAATGATGTATTTTGTAAGAGAAAATGACAGTAAGTTTATGGCTACAAGACAGAGGACAATGGCAGGTTTGATTCCTGCTTATTTAAACAAAGGCATTTTTCAGAGAATATGAAATATTCCTGGTGTTGTGAATGCTATGAGATTTTATCATTTGCTACATTTATTCTTTATCATTTCTGGGCAGAATGAACTTGAAGAATCAAGTAATATATCATGGCTATGCATATACATAGATAGACATGTGGGTGTGGTTTAGCAAAGCAAATAGTCCTATTTATATAGGACAATATTCTGATGCTGGTTTGAGGCTAGTTCTAAATGTGTAGATTTGGAAGGAAGTTACATTTCCAGGGAAGAAAGACTATGCTCCCCCAATTCTATCCAAAACTCATTATCAAATAATCAAAAAGAAGAAAAGTGAAGGGTTGCTGGCTTTATTTGATGTCCATTCCCTTCAATTTGAGTAGAAATCCTAAAGTAACAGGCTGAAATGCTCTTCCTGGGAGAAATTTCTACCTTGGTTCTCCTACCCCTTGGCACTTCCAAACCTTCCTGAACCCAGAGCTCACACTCTTGTAATGAGACCATTACAAGAATATGTACTAGCTTTGCATATTGTACTAGATCAGCATATTTTGTGAGTTGATGGATTTCTCTCACTTTGGTGATAACCATCACCATGGGACCTAGTGCTTGGCCAGGCCTATGAAGGAACACCCACTACCTCTGCTCTCATCTTACTCCACCTTTTTCCATGTCAGTCTTGATCTGCTCCTCGAGATCCTCTGGGGACACATAGAAGTCCTCTTCTGGCATTGATGATTTGGGCCGGCAGTGTCCACAGCAGCAGTTGCAACAACAGCACAGACAGCAACAAAAATAGCAGCCGGTCAAGAGGCCAATAATGACGAACAGGGTCTAGGCAAAGCAAAACAGGGGTGAGGGGTAGTGGGGTGTGGGAGGCCCTCAGAAATCAGGTATGTGCCCATGTACCTCCAGAGACCTAAAGATATCACACCCTCATCCTATTGCATGCAATCTTTTTAGTTTCCTTGGAAACAAATTCCACAAAGTTTTGCCTACCTAGCAAGTTAAACCCAGAAAAAATGATTTGTAGCCAAAACAATGATGTATGACGTTTTCTTCTTTATTCTTAAGCTATCGTGATCATTATTAAGATTAAAGCAAACAAAACAACATGCCAAACAACCAACAAGCAAAACTCTACAGGTCTCATGATCTAACCAAGGGGACAGAATCATTCTCACCAAAGGAGCTGTTGATAGCTCACCTCTCCCCCACCCACATTCCTCTTAGTCACCAAGTCCTGCAGAGTCTCTCTCTTCCATATCTCTTGCACTCTCCTGGCTAGTAGGGTTTTACAACAGATCCTGTTATCTCTGCTCTGAACATTTCAGTGACCTCGTAACTGGCCTCCCTGCCGCCACTCTTGCCTCCTAATCCACCACATGTGTCGCTGCTGGAGCTTCCTGAAATGTATGTTCTCTTGACTGTGCAGCTACTCTGCTGCCTCTTAGATAAGGCTGGAGCTCCTTATTATGGGCATCTGGCCTCTGCCAAGCCCTCCCCTACACCAGCCGACCCTTTTCCTGCTTCTGCCATAGCTTTACTCTATGGATTCATCAGCCTAGACGTGCTTCTGCCCAGCTCCCCAGCCATCTTACAAATACCCACTTCATGTTTAAGAATCATCTAAAGGTCCTCTCCCTGAAGTCTTTTCTGATCTCCCTTTCCTTCTTCTGTGCCCCAGCTGTACCCCATACAAAATTCTACCACTGTACTTTATTTGTTGACACTTTAGGACATTTGTCAGTTTATAGACCTGTCTCAGACTAGGAGATTCTTGAAGGCTAGAGCTATATGTTAGTCATCTTTCAATCCCTCCTACCTAAGGTTTAGTGCCTGGCATGTGGCAGACACTTATTAAATACCTGTTGAATTAATGTATAAAGTAATAGATAAGCAAATGGCACGTCCCTTTTAATGAATAGCACCAGGATTCCCCCCTAAGCATATACGTTTGTTCACTAAGTTTGCCATAGCTAAAGAGTAAAAGAAACTCTCCCAACTCCCCAATTTGAGGTTAAAATAAGCATTTTTGTTAACTGAGCAAAATAAATTTATGATTTTATTTAAAATGTTATTTGAAATAGAAGGGAAGTAGTTAATACATCTTTGAATCAGGATGCAGATTTTATCTAATAAAAGGAACAAAGGGGATAAAGATCACTGAATGTATCTTCAGTTCTTCAGTGACTTAAGGTGGAATTGTTTACGTTGATGAACCTTGCCTGCCCCATTCCAGCTTCCCAGCCCAGGACTATGTCTATCTGACTGGCCCCAGTTTGGGGCGGAGCCTACGGGTGGCTTGGAGTGAGGGAGCTTTAGTCACACCCTCATACCTACAATCTTTTTGCTCTGAATACTCTACATTTTCATAGATTTAGGTAAATTACTCTGAAAGCAAAACTGCAACACCCCCCTCCCAACTGCCTCTAAGACCCTCCTGCTCAGTATTCCTGAGTCATTGCCCCAAGTTCCTCCTTTCTTTACCCACTTTTGTCCTGTGCAAATTTTTACTATGAAATTCCCCAGATTTTTCTCTTGTCTGAAAATTTTCTTTAAATCATATACTGTTGTGTTCTTTAGTTGTTCCAACTAAATGGTTTTTGTCTGCTGCAGAAATAACCTTGTCTTATATCCCTTTCAGTGCTGAGCACAGTACTAGGTGCAAGCAGATGTCCAATATTTTTAAATACATATTTCCAGTGGTACAGATTCATTCATACAATGCATACTTAATACATGACCACTACACACCTGGACATTGTAGTGGGCACTGTGTAGTTAGGCTTTGGCACCAGCAGAACGGGAAAGTAGAATTTTTTGTAGCCTTACTTTTAAAGAGCCACATCAGAAATTACTTTATATACCTCTTACACTACTGGACATCTGCTTGTCTATGAATTTTGGTCAATTTTGTCCACTTCCTGAGCAAAGAAACCTATTCTCACTTTTATGCAGATGGCCCCAATATGCAATCAGGGGCTAGTGTGCAAATAATTTAGAACTCCAGATGGACCTTCCTGTGGAAAAAGTGTCATGTCTGAAGGTTAGGTTCCCAGGCAAGCCCACAAAAAGCCCATATTGTTATATGAATGTTCAATCTATCATCAGAAATGACATTGTCAGCATATACACTCTCATTCCAAGTTCCAGATCTGCCTGGCAGGAATTTGTTTTCCTCCCAAGTCTTCAACAATAGAGAAAGGGGTTTTCAGGGGGAATCCTGATTATCCTCAAGAAAAGGAATTATGGGGACTGCGGAAGACAATTGAGGCTTTAAATTGTAGCCTCTCCCCATGCTTATGTACAAAAACATATTTTTTTCTCTTCCTGCATATATACAACACTTCAATTTAGCAAGTTTATTTTAATGGAAGAAAATAGCAATCAGAATACTACAGAACATGAAATCTGCCTTTTTGGAGATCAGCAGTTTTTTAAATTATTAATTACAACTCATGAATGTGAGTTCATCTGGTTTCACAAAATGTGTGAACTATTCACATGTATGAACTATTCATATGTGAATTGTCCAAATATATGCTAGTGGGCTATATGTATGGTTCACATGCAAATACATTTTTATCAGAAAATAAGGATATTAAAACTCATAAATATAAAGCCATGACCAAACATACATGTTCTAGGGATTCTTAGGGAACCACACAAAATGTACTGTCAAACATCAGTTCTGATTGCATTACGTCCCTAACAATGTTGCCTTTTTCTTGACCAGATATCTTTTCTCTCTCTCTCTCTCTCTGTCTCTCCAACTCCCTGTCCTCCATTACTTAATTCTCACCTTTCACCCCTCATTTCCTTCTCCACTACCTCACTCACACTCCACGTGAGCCTATGACATAATTACCACACACTCTCCCAAGTATTGTGTTTGCTGATGTAGCCTATGCTATAAATAGTAAAGTACATGGCTAAATTTGTTAATAATAATTTATTAAACAGTCGTCACACTAATAAATTATTTTTGGTTTTGAGCAATGAGTCAGTTCTTAATTAGTCACTATGTGGGGAGAAAAGGCAGTCAGAATTAACCTGAAGCTTCAAATTCAAATATAATAATGTCTGGAAGTGTTTTAAGTCATGCTGTATGTTATAATAATTTTATGAGCTAAAGCAAAAGTAATCCTCAAATAACAGCTTTCCATCAAAGCTATATCTCCTTTTATTTTCAAGAGTTTAATAATATATAAGGTTAGGCTTTCTTTGAGATTGAGTCTAATATCATGATCTAACAGGAAATTGTTTTTAAAGGAAAAAAAATATGATTCACCTTTGCCCACCAGCTTGACAGCATAAAATAGGTATTAACATTTTCATCTCCAAATTGCTCAGCCACATAGAGTCCCAGAGATCCGTACTTGTCATATATGTTTCTCTTGGACATGTCAGTAAGTATTGCATGGGCATTGTTGATTTCTTTAAACTTGTCAGCAGCAGCTGGATCATCTGGATTCTTGTCTGGGTGGTGTTTCAGGGCCAATTTCCTTTTTAAAAAAGCAAGGAAAAGTGTCATTTGACAAGAATTACAATGACATTTTAGAAGGACACAATTCATCTATACATTCTTTATACATGTAAGTACTGTGAACTGATAATGTTGATTTAACTACACAAGTGTTCATTAATGTTGCCTCTTGTTTCTAATGTGCAGGAACAATAGTATTGTTTCTCTTCTCACATCCTCAAAGGGATTCTCAACTGCATGGTTGTTGAGTCTGAGACATCTTGCTGTTGGAAAATATGTAAAGTTTATTTTTCCCTGGAAGCTGATTAGTATCCCAGCTCAACATACAACATCATGGAACTTTAAGAGTTCCAGCAATAGGACCAGTTTACACCAAAATTCTATTTAGAACTGGAATTAACAAAACTTAACACTACATATTCATAAACTCAACTATCAAAAGAATTTTCTAATTTATATTCCCTTGAATAGACATTATAACCCCTTCGCAAATCTTCCACAAACAAATTTTCTTTGTTTTTCTGAACAAATATTGTGACTTCCCTTTTATTCAAATGTATTTTCACCTCTTTCCAAATAGGTCTTTCCACTTCAAATAATCCATAGAAATTTACTTGTGAATAAAAGGCCCTGTCTCCTCTGTGACCATAAAGCAGTTTGTATAGGGTGTTGGTATGCATTGTGTTGCATCGTGTGTGTGTGTGTGTGTGTGTGTGTGTGTGTGTGGTGGGGAGTGACTTGGCGGTATTCTTTATTCTTCAGTATACTTCAGTATTTAAAAACCTCTAAATGGATGTAAGAAGTGAGTTTATGTAGTCAGGCTCTGGCTAGTAGCCCTCTGTAGACAAATTGAATCTATAGTATTTTTTCTACTACAAAGGGAATTAATTTTATGACTATCTACTGGGAAGTCCACATAACTTATTCTCTCTACTGTGCCCATCATAGGTGTATGTGAGAATATACCTTAAAGTTTTGTTTATTTTATCAGTTTAAATTAAATGGTTTATTTATTTATTTTTTTAAATCCTCACCTGAGGATGTTTTTCTATTTATCTTCAGATAGAGTGGGAGGGAGAGAGAAACAAACATCAGTGTGAGAAGGACACATCAACTGGTTGTCTCCCGCATGACCCTGACCAGGGCTGGGGATGAACCGCAACCGAGATACATGCCCTTGATCAGAATTGAACCCATGACTCATTGGTCCACGGGCCGATGCTCTAACTACTGAGCAAAACTGGCCAGAGCAAATTGTTTTATTTTAATGCAATAATAAAGGCCCTAAGTAGATGGGAGAAGTAATGTATATCTTATAAAACAATCTATGCAATAAACTGGAAAAACATCACACCTGTTTTAGGAATTAAAGTATTGTTGGGTTAGGAAGTGAGTGAATAATAAAGCAGCTCAGCATCAGAATGCTTAAAAAGTACCAAAATATTTAAAAGTATAAATCGCAGTATATAATCCATTCTAACTTTGAACTCAGAATAAAACAATGATGTTTCATTTTAAATTGTTTAACCAAAACATCTTTTCATCCTTTTTGAGAGATGTTTGGGGTTTCTGTAAATTGTTATAGATAGAACCATTGGAGACATTTTTTTTATGTGCAGAATTTATGATGAAGTCTTGTTCTAATGACACAAAATGCATATTTTGTCATTTTTTAAAACCTTTTATATTTATTATATGCCAACATTATTGTAAGGATGTTATAAATATTAATTCATTAATCTTCACCACAACTCTATGAGATAGATATTATAATTCCATTTAACAGATAAGGAAATTTAGCCACCAAGAAGTTAAGTAACTTACCCAATGTCACACAGCTAATAATTAGAGCCAGGCTTTGAACACAGGCACTCAATCCTGGGCACATGCTCTTCCCACCAATACTCTGCCTCCTAAATATTTTTAAATTAAAAAAGTCAGGCACACAGAATGTTAGTAGGCCATTGTAAGGACTTTGGCTTTTGGCCGAGGTAACGTGGGAAGGCACTGGAGTGTTTTGAGGAGAAGGGTATGATCTGAGTTTAGTGTTAGAAGGGCCACTCAGTCTTGGAGAAGACAAAGGTGAAAGCAGGGAGACCCTTTTAGAAGTTTATAGTGGTTCAGACCAGTGAGATAGTGTGGACGATGTAGTGAGAAGTGGTTGGATTCTGGATATATTTTGAAGACTAGCTGGATTGGATGTGAGATGTGAAAGAAAAAGAGGAGTCAGGGATGGCACCAAAGATTTGTCTTGAGCAACAGGAAATTTGGAGTTACTGTTAAAGTGTTGGCTAGATATATATGTAGAAGAGAATGGTTTGCTAGAATTTGGAGTTCTATTTTAGACACCTCTGAGATGCCTGTTAGACTTCCTAGTGAAGATGGAGATAGAGAGATCTATGAGCCTGGAGTTCAGGTGAGAACTATGGGACATGTACATTTGGGAGTTCTCAGCAGCTAGATAGTATTTAGAGCCATGGAACAGGAAAAGAATCACAAGAGAGTATGTTCAAGAGAAGTCCAAAGACTTGAGTTTTAGGAAGGAGGAACCAGCAAAGAAGATAAAAGGAAAGATAATGTATGAGGAAAAAATCCAGAGAATGTGGGATCTTGGTGTTATCAGTGGAAGTGGGGTATTTACCAATGGAAGTGGAGAATTCCTTTCCCCACTGAGAGCTGTGGATTGGGTCCTTATGATATCTTGAGAAAAAGAATTTTCTAAGACTTGCATGGGAGGATGGGTAATTTTTATTTGCATGGAATTACATTCCTTGATTCTAAAGTTTTATTTCCCTTAAATCAGCCCTGAAAGAGGTGCAGCTAGAGATTCAGCAGAGCTAGAAGCAAAGCCAGTGTTCAAGGTTTCCATTCAACCGTGGAGTTGGGTCTGGCACAGCATCAAACTAGTTGTAGTCCATCAGTCCATTGTGTAGGTCCACACGGCAGTGTTCCCCTAGCAACAAGAGAGCCAGGAGCCCAGGGCCCAAGCAAGAGCAAGAGCAGAAACTCCTTTTGTTTAGGAGTTTATGGATCTCAGATTTTGCACCCTTGCAGTGGCCATGCTTATCCTGGCTGATGGCCTGTTCCCAAGTGTGGCTGACATGCATGTACCTTTCCTACATCACTCATACTTTACTGGCATGTGTCTATTCTTCCCCTGTCCAGTCCCTTCTTCCAGTGAGGGGACAGACCGTGGCTTTGCAGCTTCCTGGCAAAGCTGTACAAGTGACATGCCTATAAAATTTGGCCTTTTCTTTGCTCCTTTCCAGTTAATTAATAACTGGGTTATTACAATGGTATCTCTAGGATACAAGAGAACAAAGTATTTGACAGGTCAGGAATGATGAAGATGAAGAATTGATTACTGGGTTTAGTTATGCAGAAATCTTTGGTGACTTTGACATATATACCCCCCCCCCCCCCCCGCACACACACATGCATATATACACACAGAGACAATTGTATATATGTCTTTATATTGGGGGAAATAAAGCAGAAAAATAAGTAGAAACGAAAGAGGAAAATGGAAGGTTATAACCACAATTAACTGTGTTTATAGATGCACATTGGGATTAAAACAGAGGTGATTCTATGTTTTGTTTTAATAGCTGAAAGTTTAGAGTTTGTTCTCTTAAATGGCCCACTACAAATTAGAGGGGACAAAAGGAAGAAAGAATGAAGTCCTCAAACTTTAATGATACAACAATCATCAAAAACCTCAAGTGGATTCTTTAAACACATTAATTTTAATGACTCAATATTCCTGGGATTTTCACTCTGGGCCCTTGGAATACAATCGCAGCATTTTTTCTGCTAGTTCCAGAGATCATGGCCAGGCCAGTCAAGTGCAAGAGTTATTAACTTCTGCGTTGAAGGAAAGAAATCCCTGGAAAATGGCTCTTTCCATATATTTCTTTGTTTCTAGTGTTCAGTTGTAGACTGATACACACTGCCCAAGAATAGCCAGAGAAACCTTCCTGTAATATTTTAAGCTGCTTGGATCGTTGTCAGCTCACAAGGGCAGATGCTCTCAACCATTTATCACATTCCTCTAACAATGGAGTTGGCACATTCAGAGGACTGGAACATCTCCTTTTGTAACAAGTCCAATTCCTGGTGGTGAGCAGCATTTTGACTCCTCTTGGCAGATTCTCTTGGCTCTAAGGAATCCTCAGGAAATATGGCTAGCAGAGGCAGCTGCCAAAATTACACAACTGCTCAAGGAGGTAGTTGATCAGTAACCCACCCCCTTGGGAACTGTCTATAAAGCAAGAAAACACGTATAGGATTTAGGGTGAAAGGAAGTGCTTGGAGTACATTTAAATGTACCTTTACTCGCCTATTACTTTTTAAAATATTTCTTATAATTTCTCATTTTATACTGAAAAGTGACATACTATTTAACCAGAATGTGAACCTTTAACTAATATTAGAAGTAGCAACAATGCCTCTAATTTCCACTTCAAAACCCAATGACAGCTATCAACTGAAAGGCATAGTGAATTTAGTGAGTGGCAGATAAGCTAAACATGGGTTTATAGTTTTGATTGCTTAAGGCCCCTAAGAACTACCTACTTTGATGCAGTGGAATAATTCTAAGAATTGTAATGTTCTACCTAGTTCTCTTCCTTGCACCCTCTAACACTCAGGTGAAATCTACCTGCTACTCTCTACCAGTTCCTGAGTCACCTAAGATCCAATTCTGACCATATTGCCCCAGCAGCTCTAGTCCAAATCGATCTCCATGGGGTTGGAATGTCAGAGGAGACCTTATTGTTTGGAAAAGTGGGCCTGTGGGCCTCAGGAAGTTCCACCAGGCATGGCTGTCAATAGCTGCCTTTCACCACTCAACATATTTTCAGCTGCTTTCTCCAGTTACCTTCTGTTGCTTCCTATCGGAAAGATTTCCTTATTGCTGTGTGACTTTCTGCTAAAATCTCTCAGCCACAAAGATGATTGTCCTTTTAATGTCTCAGAAGAAAACCTGCTGCCTAAGACAAAATAATAGAAGAGGGAGAG